GCTGCACAAGACCTTTTTAAAGTGTTGAAGAGCAAAGATGTCAGCTTGAGGACTAAGGTGCACCTGATCAAGTCATGGTATTTCCAATAACCTCATAAGCTTGTGAAAGCTGGACAGTGAATAAAGAAGACTGTAGAAGAATTGATGCTTTTGAGTTATGGTGTTGGAGGAGAATATTGAAAGTGCCATGGGTTGCCAAAAGTATCAACAGATCTGTGTTGGAAGAAGTACAGCCAGAGTGCTCCTTGGAGGCCAGGATGGCCAAATTTCATCTCTCATACTTTGGACATATCATCAAGAGGGACCAGTTGCTGGAGAAGGATATCATGTTAGGTAAGGTGGAGGGTCAGAGAAAAAGAGGAAGACCCCCAGCGACAGGGATTGGCAAAGTGGTAGCATCGATGGGCTCAAGTGTGGCAACAATTGTGAGTTTGGCCCAGAAACGGGCAATGTTTTTTTTCTTTGTGCATAGGGTTGCTATGAGTCTGTACTGACTCAATGGCACCTAACAACAACAACCAGGCAATTTAAACTCACTTCTGAAAAATTATTAACATAAGCAGTCAAAACTAGATGCCAAGAAATAAAGAAAACTGATATTTATGTGTTTTAAACATGTGCTTATGTGAATTTCCATATGAAAATTTATTTGTTGGATTCTTGAAGTTAAAATAGCACATTAATTTAGTTTAGTTTTTGTATTTTGTTATATTTACTAACTAATGTTTGTACTGTTAAATAACCAACTAGTTTGCGATTTCTATTTAGAAAACAATCAAGTAAATATTACTAACACAGGAAAGCTGATGGTGAAAGATTTTCTGGAGTCTTTGTCTGGACCTTACACATGTACTTTTTCCTATAAGTCTGTCAAAGCAGAAACTCAAGAAGAAAAGACAGTAATGAAGAAATATGAATTTATAATGTTTGGTAAGAATATAAACATTTTAATTGGTACATTTATTTTGGGTTAGAATTAAATGTATGGTTTCTTCATTTAATGAGTCTGTTATAGAAAATCATTTTGACTTATAGATTATTGGGGTGTATTTGACAAGGTAGATTTTTAAATTGATATTAAAATTTAAAAAAAAACAAAAATATCTTGTTGCCATCGAGTGTTCTGACTCATAGTGACTCTATACAACAGAATTGAACTGCCCCATAGGATTCCCAAGTCTGTAAATCTTTTTTTTTTTTAAGTATGGAAATCTTTTCTTAAGCTTTTATAATAATGGTCTTATACAATATTTGCCCTTTTGTGATTGACTAATTTCACACAGCACGTCCTCCAGGTTCATCCATGTTCTGAGGGGTTTCACAGATTCGTTATTCTTCAATATTGCCTAGTATTTATTGTATTGTTGCGGGGTGGGGAGACAAAGTTTGTTATCCATTCTTCCATTGATGGGCACTTAGGCTGGCCCCATCTTTTTTGCTGTTGTGAATAGTGCTGTGATGAACATTGATGTGTATGTACATATTTGTGTCCTGGCTCATATTACTTGCGGATATATACCAAGAAAAGATACTGCTGGGTCATACGATATTTCTGTTTCCAACTTTTTAAGGAAGTGCCATATCATTTTCCACAGTAGTTGTACCATTTTAGAGTCCCACCAGCAATGTAGCAATGTAGGTGGGTCCCAGTCTCTCTACACCCTCACCAGCATTTGTTGTTTTCAGTCTTTTTTAATGTCGCTGTTAATAATGCTAATGCGCTGGACTGCAAAGTCTATGTAAACAGCAGTGAAAGCAGTTCAAGCTCACCAGTTGCTCCTTGGAAACTCTTTGTAGGGTCGCTATGGGTCAGAATTGACTTGACAGCACTTAACAACAGTGGCTAATGATCATGAACATTTCTTCATGTTTGTTGGTGGTCTGAATGTCTTCCTTGGTGAAGTGTCTATTCATGTCTTGTGTTCATTTTTTAGTTGGGTTATAAGGCTGTAAATCTTTACAAAAGAAAAATGCTACATAGTTCTCATGTGGAGCAGCTGGTGTGTTCAAACCACCAACCTTTGGTTAGCAACTGAGCGCTTAATCACTGCATCATTAGGGCTCCTTCACATCAAGATAAACCCAATGCCATTGAATCAATTCTAACTCTTAGTATGTGAACACTTACAACTTCATCTTTGTCCCTTAGAACAGATGATGGGTTTGAACCGCCAAAGTTGTGGTTAGCAGTCCATTGCCTAATACAGCCTCATCAGGCCTCCCTTGACATCAAGATTGTTGTTGCTAAGTGTAGAGTCAATTCCGACTCATAGCAACCCTTGTATGGGGTTCGATGACAGTGTGTCCTTATTAATGATTTTTCAGTCCCCTACTTCTGGTAACATAGTGGTTATGAATTGGGCTGTGAACTGCAAGGTCAGCAGTTCAAAACTACCAGCTGTTCTGCGGGAGAAAGAT